CTTTCTTGTGGAGAAATATCAAAAGACATAGAATCAAGGTAATATCAAAACTGTACATTTTTCAGTTCTGGTTGATCAATCTACCTCATTTCTCAGTTTGTTGCTTGTACATTTTTTGTGATGTACAGTTCAGTTGACAAGGCCATTTGGTGAGATGATTTCTGAGTCTGTTGACCAATTGAAAACTATAACTAATAGTTTGGTGAAAGGATTAGAACCAAGACTTGACATTGCTGGTGAATTGGCAAAGATGGACTTGTCTATTAATGATCAAATTAAGACACTACGGCTAATTTTGGAGAAAGCAAGTGATGAGAGAACATTCCTAACATTGGATGGTGCTATGAGAAAAGCATTTGTTCTTCTCTTACTTGGGGCAAGGGAGCTGTGATTCACTCTTTGATGTAGTTTTGTTTATGAACAACTTTCCATTTTGCTCTTATCACCTTAGTATGTGATCACTTTGAAATATACATTCTTTGGTACTGTTTTTATTAACGTATGCGAGTATGTTGGAATTTTTATGAGATACTACAATTATGATAATGGATCATATGAAAAAAAATCTTGGCAAAAACAATTGAAAAACAAATCTTGTCATATGAATCTTACCAAAAAAAAATTCATGTCATTTGAATCTCAATTTCCATTAAAATTATCAAAGATTTTTTATTTATTTTTAAAATAGTCTGATCTGATGTTATCCGGAACATCGCCAAACATAGTATAACTTAGTCAGACTATTTATCCAGAACATCACCAAACGCCTTGTAATATTATGGATAAATAGTCAGTACTCTCCGGAACAGATTAATACTATCCGACGAAAATTAGTCAGTACAGTCCGACGTACCAAACGAGCCCTATAGTACTGCCCATAGCATCACTCTTTTAGATAAGCACTTTAAATGAAAGTTCTTTTGTGTCCATAATAATAAACACGTTTCTAAAGCAGAATTAGAATCGCTTTTTAGATAAGCACTCTCAAACAGGAGCGTAGTGCTTCCTATATAAGCATTCCGGCACTCTTAGGGGGGTGTATTCAATTCTAACTTTTAAAGACTTTTAATGAGTTTAAAAGTCTAGAGGTATTCAACTATGACTTTTAAATAGTCTTTAGAAGTTTAGTGGTATTCAATTATGATTTTAAAAAGTCTTTAAAAGTTTTGTGGTATCCAAAAAATTAATGACTTTTGAAAACTTCGTTAAATGAATCACTTTTCAATACTTTCAAGCCTAATTCTTAACACCAAAAGTCTTGCTAATTTACCCAAGACTTTATCAATGAATTCGATCATGCTGCAACTTTGGCCATTGCGAGGGTGTGCCATCATGTTTGGGTCTCTAGACCCCCTCCCTCTTTGGTCGGTGTACTATCAAGACTACCTACACCGCCAATTTGATTTTTTTTTTGGCTTCCATTATCTGTCCTGGGAATTGTTATGATGATGAGCCGTTTCTTGCTTGTTTTTTTTCTTTTCAATGCTTGAAACAATTGCTACGTACTAAGAGCTATGGTGGGACTGCATTGGTTTCTTCCATAATTTTTTTTTGCCTCCATTTGTAATTTTTAAGGCCTATCTGTAGGAACATATGATTTTGTTACAAGACCCACATTCTCCAACAACAATTTAGCTCTTAGCATCTCGGGGTTTACAACTAACCCCACATTCTGGTGCTGTTATTTGGCTTGGCTCTATCACCATGCCACTTTACTTGTATCTCCCACCCAGACAAAGTATACTTTTAGAAGGTCTTGAGGATCTCAACTTCGTTCCAGCAATAGGATAATCTGTCCCTTCTTCCCCAAGACCCAACTCTACAAACTAAACTAATTAAATCCATAATATTGATGGCCCACCTTATATTTGAGTTGCATCCAAGAGCAGCAACCTTATTTTCTCCATACTTGACTGTTCTCAAGTGAAAAGTTCTTAGACATGGAAAAATATTTCTTTGCTTTTACACAATTGTATCCAATTGTTTTTTTTTTTTGGCTACTTGTTCCATATGTGTACTAGTTAATTCACCATACAAAACATAAATATTAGAAGCAATTTCTTTTTTCGTTATAATACTCTATGATAAATATTAAAAAGATAATACTATTCATAAAATAAATATTAAAAAAAGTAAATAAAAGTATGTAAAACTCTATGATAAAAGTATATGAAAGTATATCACTTAACTTTATAAAGTATGTAAAAGTCATTAAGAATTTGTCAAATCTATAAAAGTCACTCACTTACAAAAGTCTTTAAAAGTTAGAATTGGATACACTAGTCTAAATTTGAGATTAAACTCACTTAATTCCAATATTTTCACATCAAACCAAATTTCTAAAACATCCAATAAAGTCACACAACTTAATAAAATTTTCCACAAAAATAATAAAATCAAGTATTATTTTTGAGATTATTACATAATTAGACCGTAATACATTTAAAAAAATAATTTTAAGAAATAATAAAGTCACCAAAGGACTACTGTTTCCTGGTACAAGATTCCAGAACCAAGAGGGAGAAAAATATGAAATTTTTTATGTTATTTACAAATTAGATGATGAAACAGACGTATTTGTAGAAAAGAGAGGACAACAGAATTAATTGCTTGGCCACGAATCCCGATGTGCTTCTTTTGTATAGAGAAGAGCCTAAAACATAGTTACTGACTTCTTGCTTGCTAGATTCTATTCCAACTTGTTTGGTGGCATGCTCTTCAATTTTCTTTTGATCTCGTCAATAATTTCCTTGATAAACACTCCTACATACCTGTTAGATAAACTCAAAATTGAGAAAAAGTAAGAATTAAATTAAATTGAACTAATATCTTACTTATTATGACTACAGAGCTTGGGAATATTGAATATATAGTTGAACATTTATTCAGAAATTGATGAACAAAACTTTTAAAATCCTACTAAAATTTTGTAAACTTCTGAAAACATTACTAGAAATATATTTAATTGCGGTGCACTATGTTGATCCTGATCCATGTGAATCGATCAGAGTTTCTAAGCTCTGCATTACTCTGAAAAACCAAAGATGGATCGGGAATAACATTAACAAAATGAAGAAAAAAGCAAAGAAATGGAAATAAGTAATTACCCATCAAACGTGCTCAAAGCCAGGCCGTCCAGACCTGCAGCTTCAGTTAGAGACTTTCTCCACGACTGTATCTTTTCTTCCTTATCTTTAACTCCATGGAAGCGCTCTTCATGTGTCTGAAATGCTTCTGCAAAACTACCAGTTTGTTCCCTGACATCACTAGGATCAACATCGTAGAAAATTGGCAAAACGATTTGCCCCAGTGTTCTTCTACACTCCATGATCTTCTCCAGCGCCTCAAGACACCATATGGAATCCGCATACCTTCTTGAGAAGATGATGACAGAGATCCTGGATCGCTGGATTATTTGATTGAGTTTGTCTGGTATAATTTATCCTCCTCTTAGTTCGTTCTCGTCAATAAAGACGTCAACAAAGGCACGTTTTAACCTCCAGTAGAGGAGGTCGGTGAAGGTCTTGCGTGTGTCTTCACCTCTAAAGCTCAAGAACAATCGTACATCACATCGTACATCACATCGTCTAAAGAGCAGGATGAAGAAGAGGATGAGAAGGTTGGAGAGGAGACTTCAACGGCTGTACTGGTATCCATTAATTGTTCCCGCAGTGCAGACTTGTATGCTGAACAAGTTTTTCCTCTAATTAGTTATCCGATTGAAGTCAAACCCCGCTTCTTTCCGGGCAGAGCTAGAATTGGTCTGGGAGTCCAATATATAAAATAAAATTCTCAAACAAAGTAGGGCAAAATATTCAGTTATGCTCATATATGCTCATATTATTATTCTTCTTCAATATAGAGGTATTTATACAAGTACAAAGATGTGTTAATCCTAAATAAAATAGGAAATAAATCTTAATTATAAGATGACTAAATAAATAGGTAAGTAACCAAAGTCCTAACATAATAAGGAACCAAAATCCTATCTGCAATTTTTAAGGCCTATCTGTAGGAACATATGATTTTGTTACAAGACCCACATTCTCCAACAACAATATAGCTCTTAGCATCTCAGGTTTTACAACTAACCCCACATTCTGGTGCTGTTATTTGGCTTGGCTCTATCACCATGCCACTTTACTTGTATCTCCCACCCAGACAAAGTATACTTTTAGAAGGTCTTGAGGATCTCAACTTCATTCCAGCAATAGGAAATCTGTCCCTTATGGGTCTACAAACTAAACTAATTAAATCCATAATATTGGAAATCTGTCCCTTCTGGGTCTACAAACTAAACTAATTAAATTCATAATATTGATGGCACACCTTATATTTGAGTTGCATCCAAGAGCAGCAACCTTATTTTCTCCAAACTTAACTGTTCTCAAGTGAAAAGTTCTTAGACATGGAAAAATATTTCTTTGCTTTTACACAATTGTATCCAATTGTGTTTTTTTTTTTTGGCTACTTGTTCCATATGCGGACTAGTTAATTCATCATACAAAACATAAATATTAGAAGCAATCTCTTTTTTCGTTATAATACTCTATGATAAATATTAAAAAGATAAATACTATTCATAAAATAAATATTTAAAAAATAGATAAAAGTATGTAAAACTCTATGATAAAAGTATATGAGAGTATATCACTTAACTTTATAAAGTATGTAAAAGTCATTAAGAATTTATCAACTCTATAAAAATCACTCACTTACAAAAGTCTTTAAAAGTTAAAATTGGATACACCCCTTAACTTCGACTTGCCCTTCCGACTGAAGGTGCACGAGTTAACTGATCACCATCTAACAGTTCTACATTTCGTCTTTATATTGATGACGATAAGACAGAAATTGCCCCTACTTATATCTATTCACAATATGAAACTTACCAGAAGAAACCATTTATAATAATAATTACATGAAAAGGAACTTTTACAGTTTACACCACCTTCTCTTGATACATTTCATAATAAATAAATAAAAACTCTAATAAAAAGCTACTTATTCTTTTCAGACTCCTTTGGTGGCTTCACAATTACAACTGGGCATTTTGCATGATGTGCGCAGTAGTCACTCACGCTTCCTAAGAATGCTCTGCACCACCACCCAACCAAAAAATTAAAATAATTAATAATACACATTAAATACAATAATGCTGATGAAAATAAATATTTATATTTTTTTTGGGATTTTGAGTGAATTCCGAATGAACATCCTGAATTTGACACAGAAAATCTGAGTTCAGTAAACATGTAATAAGCTCTGTCTTTGTGGATTGAGAAAATCGCCTGTAGTTTCCGCTCGAGCGGCAAAACCCTGATCAAAACGACTACAGCTCTTTTGAGCGTCTGTTTCCTTCACTCATTCCACATAACATCAACAAAAATCTTAGTTCACTAAACATGTAAGCTGTGTGGATTGAGAAAATCACCTCTTGATCATGCCAAGGCCACGGCTACCTACAACCAGAAGATCCACATGCCTCTGTTCTGTGGCTTCGCAGATCATGTCCTTCGGATCTCCACGTAGAATTAGGGTTTCTGCTTTGATCTGCACATCAAGTTAATTAAGTTCATCCAATTATATAACACAACACGGGACGGGGGAGTATTATAAACTAATTAGTTACCATCTTATCCTTGCATATCTCCAAAGCGCGGGAGAGAACATCGGCAGCACCGTCTTCTTGCGCCTTGCGCACAGATTCCACCACAGCCGGCGTCACATAATACGCAGCTCCACCGGGCCCAGCAGGGAGGACGTAGTTATATAACGGCGGCATAACGTGAACCAAAGTCACCATGCTCGCATTCTCTTGGCTCCCCTCAGGTGCTTCCAGGGTCGCCGCCACACCGGCCTTGTCATTGGGCCCCACAAAAAGATGGCCAAGCGCCCACTTGAGCGCGTAGAAGCTCCACTCACTCTCGTCTACGGCCACCATCAGCCTCATCTTCTTCTTCCCCTGTTGCTCGTCGACCCTGCTGCCTTGCTCCTCCACTGCCTGCTCTGCAACTTTTGTCTCCATCACTTTCTCGGCTGAGATATCTTGCGTTGTTCTTGTTGGTGCTTTTGAATTATATATAAATTTTTTGTCGGTCTCTTTTGTTTTTTTCAGGGGGTGAGTTCCCATTTTGAGGAGAAAAAGGACACGTTTATGTACGTGGCAACCATGCAAATAGAACATTCCAATTCCACATGCAACTTTTTGTGTTGTATGGTGTTTGTTTGTGTCGTCGTGTCATCATACTGGTGAAGTTCTCATTGTGAAGTATTAACAGCGTTAACTCTATTATGTTAATATTTTGATTAAGTGGAAGTACAAATGTCACTCAATTAAGCAAGAGACATAGCGTTAACTCTATGTATATATCGTCTTCGACAATAATTTTGTCCTTATGCTCTATTTACCATGCAAGGACAAATTATAAATTGCTAGCAAGCATAAATTTTTGATGTATTAAGGATGGATATTTACTGAAAATATGAATTTAATTTAATTTCTATTATTGCACAAATTAACCATAAAAAGGAGAATATAAATATTTTTTTTATATTACCATAATCAACATTTATAAACACTATAGCTAGAACAGTTTATTACCAATCCTAAAATGAGCATTACTACTGACATTTTCAAAGAATTCATCCAGAGTGAACAATACCTAGTAATGTTGGTAAAGTTCAAATCTAATGTAGCAACTCCCATAAATAGCACGACCGTCTTTCATGTCATAATAACTGTGATTTATAAGTTCACGTTAGAAAGGTCCTTAGTACATTCAGCTGTACCATAAAGTCGTTTATTGTTTGATATTATTTGTGACCCTTTAGCTTTCAATGAGCCACGAACAACTATATAACTTAATCGAGTGAACAACTCAATAAGTTTACTTTAAATCAACTTGGGATTATCATTGAGTTCATAATTAATCTCATAAAACTCAATTTCGGTGTCACTTATACCCAAAAAATTTGAATCTTGATATTTTAAAAGACAACCTGATATCCAAATTATAAGAGGGCAATGCTTACGAAGTTCTTTCGCATGATGCATCGTGACTTTTCTGTCGAATGGTTTTTCACATATATATATATATATATATATATGTGTGTGTATATAGACAATCACAATCATCTTGATTCTATTTATATCGTTTGTGTAGTACACCTCTTCATAATAGTAGTAGTATACATATTATAACATAATTAAAAGCTATATTGTTATAGCTTTGCCCTATGGTTATAAGATAATAGTTATATATTAATTTTTATTTTGTCAATTTCTTTTGAAGGCTACAATATCAAATTTGTGTAGTTTTGTGTATATATAGTTGGTATGGTAAGAAATTGTGGTTGTTCTTTAAATAATAAAAAACGACTTTCGGTATAGTGATGAGGTATTTCATTGCATTTGTTTTTAACCAAAGAAAAAGTAATCCATGAAAACCAACCAATGACCGAAATTTGATCTCTTAAGTTCACGAATAAGTGAGTGAATGGCGCAAGCATCAAAAAGTGCAACATCAAGTGTTGCGATCCCTCAAATAAGTATTTGAGGGACACCTTTATAGGATCTATCATACATATTTCAGTATATATATGTATGTTTAAGAAAATCAATCTTAGAATATTTTTCTTTATGTGCATGATGGTGTAAGCAAGGTCTAAAATATCAATGGTATCGGAAATATCGGTAGTCCAAAAACACGAAAATCTTTATGGAAATATCGGGATATTATTGATATCGATAAAAATTGAATAAAAATCATGGAAATTGTAAGAAAAACTTGAAAATTTTCATTGAAACTTTGGAGGATGTTTACTTAGTCAATTATCTATTAGTTTATCACAAAAAAAAATTAGAAGGAAATGCATTGCATGATGGGTTTTAACTGATTTAAGTTGATTATTGTTGAGGCCCAAAAAATCCAGGGTTTGACCCAAATAAATTCCCAGCTTAGTGCCACACCTTATTAAAAAGATACCCGGTTCGGAGCACACGAAATTCATCATGCACATTTACACGAGCCACGATCCATGTGCCATGCCAAATAAATATGCAATTTGTCACGCTAAGAATCGAAATGAGCCTATAAAAGGCACTAGCTCTACAAGCCCATGCTAATTATCCCATCAAGCATCATATCCCTTTTCAAAGACAATAAAAGCATGCCAATTGACATGCCATGCTGAGCGGAAAATCATTATTTTAAACCTAGCCACTCTCCAAACTTAAGTGGACTCAAGCCACGCAAATTCCCGGGGCTTGCTGAGTGGGTTGTGGTGTGGATGGTAACGAGTTTTCATGAGGCCCATTAATGAGCCGAGAAATGAAATTTTTTGGCTGCTTGGGAGCCCCAAAACTTAAGCCCATTTCTTGAGCCCAAATATATGGGTAAGCATAAAAAAGAGAAAAAAGCTCAATACTCTAAAAGAGATAGCCCAATACTTTAGGAAAAATTAGCTCATCATCTTAATAAAATAGCCTATCAAATTCGCCCATTCCCTTAATGGGTTAATCCATCACCTTAGGAAGCCCCAAGCCAACCAAAGAAAATATATTCAAATCTCCAGCACCTAGCTGGAAACAAAGGCCACGATAAAAGCCAAAATGTCCACGTATGTAAGCTGCTGGGAGCCTCCAGCACATGGCCAAAGACAAATCCCAACACAGACCATCCAAAAAACCAAAGGATATTTGAGCAAAACACCCTTCAAACCAACGCCATTACCTACTCATTTCTCCTACCAGCTCTTGCCATGAAATAATTAAGGAAAGAAGGAGAGATGGTAGCCAAAGATAGGAGCTTACCGTTGAAACAACTGCAGGAAGGCCTTAGAGCTCCCAAAAATCTTGTCTTTGTGTGTTTGGACAGAGGAGGATTTCACAAAATAGGATGAATAGAAGGGAGAGAATAGAAATGAAAGGGAAGACTTGGCAAAATTGGAGAGAACTCATTAGGGTTTCTTGGGAAGAAGGGGCTTCCAACGCCTATAAAAAGAGACATTTCGTACCCGTCAACCACACCAACTACTTCACAACTAGCTACAACACACATCCAGATAGCAAGCATTATCTCTCATCCATGAAACCTCTGCAATTTTGAGCCTCATTCCTCCATCTCATCCCATTTTCTCTTCTGGTAAATCGTTCCAGAGCTTGACAGAGTTTTCGTCAAGCTGCCGGAAACTACTCAACACACCCATTATACCCCTCATCTTTCTCTCTCTTCAACAAACCTTCTTAGAATCTCTTCCCTCTTTCCTTAGAACCCCTGTTTCTCATAGGAACTCACAGCCCTCTCTCTCTCTCTTTAATGCTAAACTCATGATTACTTTGCTCTCATGCCACAAACTTCTCATGCAAAGCTAAGAATTTATCTGTAAGCGACTGTTGTTTTTGTTGGTGAAGATAACCAGGGTGCTTCCTAGGGCTCCACTAACCTTTCGAAGCATTCTTAGGGTCTGATTCTTGAACTCAGACACAGGAGGTAATTTCATCCATTTGCTCCTTACGGCAGCACATCCCATTCGTAGCTGCTGGAACGAAAAAGTCCCCACAATTATGTAGTGAGCTGAAAAACATTGTTAGTGTAGAAAATATGTAGTAATTAATGAAAGAAGATTAAACACACAGTAATCATTTATATATAATGATTTACTACAATATTTTACACATTATACATTGCATGGTAAGATACATGAGTGATTTAGTACCACATAGAGTTCCCTTTGCCATATTGTGAAATGGCAAGGGTTTGAATCCCCTTCGCGTGTGTGCTTTGTGGTTTTTTTTTTTTTTTCTTTCAATTACATCGATATTTTCGATATTTATAGGTGTGAGCGAAATTATCGACATCGATATTTTTCGAAATTATTGATATTTATACGATATGTGTATGGATACGTTTTGAAATATCCGTGATCCGAAAAAACAATATTATCCTCGATATTTTTTTGATATTATCAATATTTTAGACTATAGGTGTAAGGCATTGTCTTTATTCCTGTCTTTGTTTCTTTGAAAAAGCATTTAGTAAAGTGATGGTGTACCGCAATGCATTTGTTCTTAAAAAACTTAAATAAAAACAGTCATATATGTGTACAATCTTATTTGGAGGTATTTTTTCATGCCAAATTAATTTCATTGTGAATTAGGGCTGGGCACCTATACCGTATATACCGAAACCGTATCAATACCGTGTCATACCATATCATTTTATACCGTACTGTATGGCCACCGAATTAATACGGTATCATACCGTACCGTACCAATCTTGTATGACACGGGTGCGGTACCATATATTAGCCACCGTTTGCCACCGTACCATACCGAATAGTAACAAAAACAAAAATATACGCGAGTTTGTAAGAGCATGCTGTCGGGTGGTATATTTTGTTTATTGGCTCAATGAGCTACTATTATTTCACCCATGCTGTCGGTTGTTGTCCCAATACAACTTTTCTCTTTTTGCTGGAAAGTTTGTCGCTCAAAAGAGACGTTGTCTCTATTTTGTAATGAGTGTTGTAGCAAACTATTATCATTTTTTGAATGTGAACTTATCAAACGTGCTTCAGCTTTTCTTCTCCATTTTTCTCTCTGAGTTTCTTGCGTTAGTCTTCTTCCTTTCTTTTCTTCTTCCGTGTCTGTGAGTTTTTACTTGCTTGCTGTGTTGTTTGGTTTGTTTGTCTTGAGCTAGCTGGTGTTAGTTTTTAGTTTTTTCTACAAAAGCGACCTCGCCCTCTCTCTTTCCCTGAAATTCTAACCTAACCCCATCGAATTTCATACAAAATTTGTGATAGCTCTGGATGATTTTAAGGTAAAGCTACTATATCTGGTTTGAATGTATGAAAGGAAAGAACTTTTTCGGTAGTTTGATTTCAATGGAGGTACGATAATTATGTTTTTGATATGTTGATCTCTGCAGTTGTGGTTTGAAGGATCTACTGTTGTGCTTTGAGGATCTGTTTAAATGAATTTGTATCTATTTTATTTTATTCAAATATTTTGGACTCATAATTTGCTTCTCTGTTTTTTTGCTTGCATTACCCTTTATATTTGAATATGTTTATTTGAGATATACATACATACATATATATATATATATGTCCTGTTTTGCCTCTGTGGATTATTAATCTGGAATTTGTTTAAATGCATCTGTATGAATATGTTATGAATATTGGTTTAAGTTGCTTTGAATCCTTACACTTTCGTAATGAATCTGTTCCTGAAATTACCAATATGTTAATATGAAGCTCTTTTGAAATGATTTGTTTAATGTTGGTAGGTTTTTTATTTCTCTACTTGTATCTTTATAATGATTTGTTAATAGTGGTTTGGTTGCTTTGTTTTGATGCAGGATCTGAATTTTTGTATGGGTTGTAATAAGTATAATTTTGATTTCTTACTCTCTGTATTTTTTGTAATGTGCCTTAACATCTTAAGATGCTCTATTTTCTTCCCTTGGGCTTGCTATTTATTCAATAAAATGATGAATTTGTTGATGGATATTGATTTGGTTGATTAGGATTTGGATTTTGAATTTGTTGAATCTTTGAATCTTTGGTGATTGAATAGGTTGAATATTCAATTGGTTCATTTTTGAGTTGTGACATTTTGATACCGAAATGGTACCATACCATACTGATACCAATTTGGTATGGTATGGTACGGTACCAACTTTGGCAGCTCTCTCTCTCTCTCTCTCTCTCTGTATACTTGATGGTTTTATAAATATGGGTTTTCTTCATTTCGTCTTTTTTCTAGTAGGTTCTGCGATGGTGATGATGATGTGTGGGTCTTCATTTCGTCTTTGCTCTCTCTCTCTCTCTGTGTAAATTAATGGGTCTTCAATTAGATTGGGAAAGGTTCTTCATTTCGTCTTTTTGCTAGTGGGTTATGCGATGGTGATGATGATGTGTGGGTCTTCATTTCGTCTTTTCTCTCTCTCTATAAATTAATGAGTCTTCAATTTGATTGGGAGAGGGATATGTGGGTGTTGCTTCAGTTTTTCTGCAGGTAGCAGAATTCAAGGAATCTTCTAAACGTGAATCTTTCACAGCTCTTTCAAGTTCCCTTGGACATATACTCATGCAGCTTCATACAGGTTTGTGAAAGCAGTATTCAGATTCCAAAACCTCGTGTTAGAACAAACTTTAGTGTATACTTTTCATAATTCAATTCTGAAATTGGGCACAAGTGATATGGCTTACAGCTTTAAGTGCTTTGATATTACCTGTTTCTATCCTTGCTATTATGCAGAACAGTATAAGGCAGTAATAACCATATTATTGTGCTTTTTGGTATTCTTTTTTTTCAATCTTAGATTTGGATTTCAGTGAACACCTTGTACTTTGTATGTACGTTTTTACTTTCTATTAGTGTCAATTAAGGTATTTTTCTCATAAAAAAAAATTGTTCCTGTCTTTGTAGTTGCTCACAGAAATGGATGAATTTGAGTCAGACTCGAAGGTGGTGGTTGTTGCTGCAATCTGAAGAGAGTGCATCTACAGGAATCTGAAGAGGGTGCAGCATTAGAGTCTAAGAAAATGAGCCATAACACTCGCATGGCTCTGATAAAGTTCTTACAGAAAAAACGATACGGCAGCCATTGATGCTTATTTCTGGTTTGATTTGTTTTAATCAATTGGCAGCCATTGAAACTTATTTCTATTTGTATGCAAATGTGGGATTGTATGTTGAACTTTGTTTTACTGGAAATTTGGTTAACTTTCATGTTACTTTTGTTACTTTGGCAGCATTTGCATGTTACTGGAAGACATGTTGTTTTATGCCTAAACCGGCCGAACCAAACCGCACCAAACCGGTTATGAATGGTTTGGTTTGGTTTGGTTTTCATTTTGATTTTTAGTGAAACCGAACCACCCCGGACCGTGAAAATTTAATTGGTTCGGCCATGGTTTGAGGGTCAAACCGGACCTTGCCCACGCCTAGGTACGAGCCCAATACCGTACCGTACCATACCGTGCCCACCCCTATTGTGAATACCAAGTACAACAAATTGCATCGACTATATCTTTGATATTTTATAAATAGTGAGCATCGGTAATTAATTCTTTAAATTTTTTTTTTTAAATACAAATAATATTGGGGGAAGGAGAAAATCAAACCTAGAATCTGAATATAGGGATAAATGCTCTTAATCACTTGCATTTTCTCTTGTACATTTCATTCGAGATTGTAGATACTCTTAGATACTAATGGGCTCTCTAAAAGGTAAGAGATACTGTCGGCAAATCCAGATGCAACCATTGAGTTTATGGGCCTAATCTATAAAGTAAACCATTGAGTCAATGGGCTAAGGGGGTGTTTCCGTAATTCCACTATCAAATAAATCCTAATTCGAAAACCTCCTATAACTTCCTCTCTCTCTCTCTCCTCTCCCTTCTGTCTTCGCGTATCTCTCTCTATATTCCCGGCGGCCAGTGTTGCAGTCTCAACCTTTGGACAATCAGAGGTACCTACAGTTTACCTCTAATCTCCCCTATTTGTTTTTTTCTTTGAATTTTTATTTTATGGACAATAGTAAGCACGATATTTAATTTTATAAATTGTCAAAGTGAATTGATGAAATTGGTGCTTCTTCAAAGCCCAAAAGTTCGACTTAGGTTTGTTATTTTATTTTATTTTTTTCATTTTTTATCGTGGGTAATTGGTACCTACCTGAATTTCGAGGAGTTCAATTTTCTTTCTGTGGTTTTCAGGCTTCAGCTTCTTCTCTCTTGCTTTTTTTTTTGGTGTGCAACAATCGTATACAAAATTGAAGCTATAAACTCTATATTACCATATTTCATATTTGTGAAAATTTTGTTGAGACCTGTAAAAATGGTAGCTTGGCAATGTTTTGTGCGTTATGGCTAGTGGTGTTTTTTTTTCTAAGAGAGAAAAAGAGACACATGGGTAAGTTGTATTTGGCTTATAATAAGTAGCTTTGGCTTTTGATTTACTATTGTGCTGTGAAACTAATTTGTATGTTACTCAGGTGCTGCTATGCAACTCTAATGGATTCTGATACTTTTGTGATGATTTGGTTGTTTTGGAAAATACCCTGTTCAATTCTTTGCTGCTGCTTTTCTGGGTTGAATTTCTAATTGGGTTTGAAATCATTTTTGTTCTATTTCTAATTGTCATTTTTTAATGGAAATGGTCTGTCCTCCTCTTACAATTCAAAGATTTGGAGGAGACTTAATGGATGCATTTGTTTTTCTTTTGGAAGCAAAGGAATTAGTTGTAGGGTTTGAACGGAATCAAAAATTTGTTTTTTTTTTTTTTCTGATTTTCCTTTTGTTGTATTATTTTGTGGTGAAGAATGGATTCCACTATAAAGCATGCTGTGGTGGTGAAAGTTATGGGTCGGACTGGGTCTCGAGGGCAGGTGACTCAAGTGCGAGTCAAGTTTCTGGATGACCAGAATCGGTTCATTATGAGGAATGTCAAGGGGCCAGTGAGGGAGGGGGATATCCTGACCTTGCTCGAGTCTGAGAGGGAAGCAAGAAGGTTGCGTTGATTGGAGATGGGTCTTCTTTGGTGAAGCTCCTACCTCTCCCTGTTTGATGTTTTGGTTACTCGCATAAGACTGTTGTTTGTGTTGGTGCAGTGCAGGGCAGTTGTGTTGCCAATTTATGCACTCATTTTGTCTGTTTATTTATCATGACTCTGAGTGTGTGTGTGTGTTATTAGCTGATGGAATTTCTAGTATATGTCTGGTTAATAGTTGAACATGGTGGATGTGTCTGTTTAGTTTGGATCCTGCAACTTTATATGGATTACTATTTTATTTCACATGAATTTTATTTCACATGAATTTTATTTCACATGAATTTTATTTCACATGAATTTTATTTCAATCACGTTACACTGTCACTGACATTGTTGTGTTGAGGGTTTATTGCATCACTAGCTCTTTACCCTCTTGAGTCTAAACCATAGACCAGTCGAGTGTAGAAAGAGAAAGATTGAGGAAGGGGAGGGAAGGGTTTGCTAGCAGTGGAGTGGAGTTGCCGCCGGTGGGGTTGCGTGGTTAGGGTTGGTAGCTCACAGGGTTAAAAGGTTGGACATGTGTCAAGAAACAGCAAGGGACGGGAAGCGGAAAATAGGGACACTAGATCCGGACTCAAATTTTAAGCACCTGAAAGAAAAAAGAGGGAGTGACAGGAATGATATACAGAAGGTCCAATGTCCAGATTTTGGTTTTCATCTTTTGTTGACTTTGGTCATCACAATTTTGTCTCCTAAGTTTTGCCCTAGGCATAAACTACCCACCCTAATGTGTTTCATTTATACCTCTTTGCACACCGAGGTCAAATGGGTAATGCATATGGAAACTGACATGAACGAACTATTATTACCGCATTGGATCATTAAAATGGGCAACATGGTCATCCTATTTGTGCAAGTTTAGTTTTCCTTTTACTGTGTGGTCTTCGGGAAATCGATTCAGAAAACTTTGATTGTTGTACGAGGGAGGAGTGCATGATAACCATAGAGGTTTTGGCAATTTGGATATAATATTTGTAGTCTTGTAGACGGGAAACGTAAAGCTAGTTGTTGTTTGAAAACTATAGGAGGAGAAAAAGAAGCGAGTAGAAGTATCTTTCTTTGATTCTGAAGTGAAATTTCTCAAAAAGCAAAAAGAACAACAAAGGTCGAACAAAGACCAAGTCAAAAGAATGAAAGCAGATGCAAAACCTATCCTAATCAACAAGGGTCGATCATTAGATCTTGATGTATTTGTTTGGAACAATGCATAGTTTTTGATGTATTTGTTTGGAACAATACATAGTTAGTTGCTCTCAACTTATCGAGTGTGGTCTTCACCATACACATGTTATTATCGAAATAATTCATTTTCTAAATCACAATTTAAAGATCGTCTCGACAAAAAATTAACTAAATTGTAGATTGTTTAATAAAATCTATGTCAACAGGGTGGAAAAGGACATTGACTTGCAAATCAGTGTTCTCAAGTTCGAACCCTCATAGTACCTCGATTCCCCTTATAATTTAGACTATCGTTTGTATCCGTTTAATAAAATCTACATGTGCTGAACAAATCAACAATTTTGATAATCTCATTAGAAATCTGTCTGTGATAGTGAATTTCTTTCTCCATTATGATCCTTTCGATGACATTCTCCTTCTCCCATACTCTACACCACAAATTGGCTTTTCCTAATTTAGTGACCACTCGCCATGAGTGACATTGTGAGACTCGTTCTTCCATTTTAGGTCCCCAACTCCAAAAGTTTTTGGGTGTTTAAAGTAAAAATTGTTGTACAACTGTTTCCAAGAAATAAATTGAATTTGTGGATTGAAGGATATGCTTGGAATGTCAAATATCATATTGAGTATTAAAATGGATATCGTGTTAGTGAATTGTGTCCATGGCATAAGCGAACACGATTAAGGCCATCACAAGCACGCCACTTTTACTTGAGAGTCTCAAAAAACAAACATAGCACGATCTTACATGCATAACTTGTTTTATTACCTAAAATAATTACAATCTTACCTAATTCTCACTAAAACTAAACTTGAAAGCATATATAACATAAAAACTTAACAAAAAACTAAAGTATGTTAAAAATGATTGGTAAACATGTCATGAAAATACGAAGATTTAGCATGTTAGTGCATGTCATTTTCGAATTAGGCAGGTTAACACAATTACAATATAAACACAACAACTACATACTAAACAGTTTATATCCAACGTAAACATAATTAATATATTAAACATCATTTTATTAGCAATGTTCAAACAATTGTTTATTTATTATTTTATTTACTTTTTTTCAATCAAATAATGAGAATAGTGCTCGAACTCTAATTTTTCTTAAACAAACCACTTTATAAAAAAAAGCAGTACCAGTGTACGAGGAAGGATCGCATACCGTCATGACCTGTGCACACGCACGTGACCTCCTGAGGTCGCCACGTCAGCTATTTTGGTCTGGCCCCACCCAACCCAACCCATCCACCATAGCTGTCGGCCTCCCACTGGTCCTCTCACACGCTCAAGATCTCACGTCTCACAAAAACCCACCGCACGCCATCCTCCATTTCCCAAATTGCCCTCGCGTTTTCGTGAAATCCCCAGTCTGCCCCTCCCTGAAGTTGCACTCAGCGGCTTGTCTCGGAGCCAGTTTCTTTCGGGAGTGTCCCCTCCTTTGCAAAACGAAGCCCCGCTTCTCTCTCTCTCTCTCTCTCTCTCTCTGGGCCTCTCTATCTTTCACTGTTTCCATTCGTCTCTCAGATTCGTCGATCGGACGGCTCATTGCTCGCCATCAATGACTATGATGACTCCTGCACCGTTAGATGTACGTACCAACTTCTCATCAACGTTTCCACTGTCGTTTTCCATTGAATTTCGGCTCGGTTCTTTGTTTCTGATCGCCTAGGGTTCCTAGTGGCATCCGGTGTTTTCGAATTGGCTTTAATTTTTGAAAATTCACCTACTTACAGCGATTGATTTGCTAGGGTTATGATTCAGTAGGATAGGGTTAGGTTTTGCTCGATCAGAGCTCTGATTTTGTTTCCTTTTCCAGCAGCAAGAGGACGAAGAGATGCTTGTGCCGCACTCGGATTTGGTCGAAGGCCCTCAGCCTATGGAAGGTTTCATTTTTATCTATTTTTCGATGATTCACTGTTCGAAATTCATAAGTTTGTGTTTACAGCGTGGTTTTAGAGCTTTAAATGTTGCATAGTTGATCTGAAAGAATTGATTTTTTTTGTGAGTTTGGTATCATGATGTGTGATTAGAGTTCAAGTGATTGCATTTTCTTTAGGGTTTTCGTTTTGTTGTTTTGAAATTTACGGTATTTGTTGTGTTGGTAGTAGCCCAAGTGGAGCCGGCTGCTAGTACAGTTGAAAGTCAGCCAGTGGAGGATCCTCCAACCATGAAATTCACTTGGACTATTGAGAACTTTGCTAGGTTGAACACCAAGAAGCACTACTCTGACATGTTTATTGTTGGCGGCTATAAATGGTATTTTTCCCTTGTCAACCAATTGTCAAAAACTGATTTACGCCCGGCAAGTTGGCTTATTTGGTATCTTGGTGATTCGATTAATTGCTTTGGTTTGTTTCGTCAGGCGGATACTAATATTTCCCAAGGGAAACAATGTGGACTACTTGTCAATGTATTTGGATGTGGCGGATTCCGGGACATTGCCATATGGGTGGAGTAGATATGCGCACTTCAGCTTGGCTGTAGTTAATCAGATCCATACCAAGTACTCAATAAGAAAGGGTATATTTCTTTATTAGTCTTATTTCCTTTTTTTGCATTTGCAAGGTTGTCGTTTTCGTTTTCCTTTTTTTTTTCTTTTCGAGAGCTTTTGCTTTGCTGTCATTCAGTAGTAATTTGTAGTTAAAGGTTTCAATTAGAACTTCTTTTTTGTGGAGTGGACATACTGGCTTTCAACTTCACAGTTCTTGGGTGATTTCATTTTGTACACAATGAATTGCTAAGTAATAACCTGAGTGTTTTTTTTTTTGTAAGCTTTTAATTCCAACTTTTACTCGTTAAAATTTAAAACAAAATATAAAAACAAACTCTTCTACCCCCTTTCTCTCTAACACCTTGGCTGATGCTGGCAGCACCATGGCCTGACCATCTGCCCTTGTTAGCTTTTTTATTAGTTTGAATTTCTCAAGTTTGAAAAGAGAAAAGAACAATTAGGGACATAAATGTTGTTCACCAACAAATAATTGAAAGGGGCAAACTGTGCAAATTCTTCGGTTCAAATAGAATAACCCAAGTTCTGTTAAAGATTCATACAACACTTTAATTAATTCTTCATTATCTGTTCTTACCTAGCATGGACTAGATTAAAATTTGGAAATTATTGTCACCTATATTTTTCATCTGTTAATGTGATATGTTATTGTTTTGCTTGTGCTTGAGAGGAAAACATTAAGCCATGGGGCAAAGTAAAAGACACACAACATTAGTTTCCATCCAGAACAGGGGCAATCAGTTAAAGAAAGAAATAAGATGACAGATCTTAATGGTTATCTCATCTCACTGGCCATTAAATGTCACCACAGCCTGCATGCATTTGAAATGTATGTGGTCAAGGAATTGATTGAAAAATAATATATTAGTCCTTTTACAAGGATCTAGCGGTCAATTGGGGATTAACACTAAAACTGGAAAAAAGGTAGAATTTTTTCTGAAACTGTGTGCAATTAAAAGATTATGGGCAGATTGAATTCTAATTAATAAAGAGGCTGAGCACACTAAATCAAGGATATTTATTTATTAATGGATCAGCGTGAATTGGGTCTATTGACCTTGTTAAAATTGGAGATGTGAAGTACATATATGGTAATAAATTGTATTTTATTGATGTGGTCGAGAACCTAATAAACTTTAATTATATCATAGACATTTGTTTTGCCATTACTAGTGTGTGTGTGTGTGTGTGTGTGTGTATATATTCCATTATTCTTGATTCTTGTATCATGTTGCAGATACACAACACCAGTTCAATGCAAGAGAAAGTGACTGGGGATTCACGTCATTCATGCCGCTAGGTGATCTGTATGACCCTAGTAGGGGGTATCTGGTGAATGATACAGTTGTCGTTGAAGCTGAGGTTGCTGTCCGTAAGGTTCTTGATTACTGGTCGTATGACTCAAAAAAGGAAACTGGTTATGTTGGGCTCAAGAATCAGGGAGCAACGTGCTATATGAATTCTTTACTCCAGACTTTGTACCATATACCTTACTTCAGAAAGGTCATTTACATGATCTTTTGTTTTCATCATGAGCTCAAA